ATAGGGGATCAAAACTCAAATTAGAATGAATTTATAACTTTCAATTGCAAAAATAATCAATTAATTGACTATAGGCCTGACTCTCTAAAAAGTTCCCCAGCGGAGTCGCCAAACTGTCGTAACCATTTTTCGGCGGGGACAATTGTTTGTTGTTTTAAAAAACAATTAAGACTTTAATTTTGAAAAATTTAGTGATTTGGAATTAATTTGGGTAGAGCTGAAAAGAATCGCCATCAACCTTTGGGTTAGGTAGGTCGAATACCTAAAAACGTCTTTTAAAAAACCATTTTAAGAAAATTTGTTTTTTAAGACAAAAGTCGGTCTGCGTTTACCAAAGATTTGATTAAAATGGGTTCGGGAGTCGATTACGCTTGGGGAAGAATTAACACCCCCACAGCGCCCTAAATCGGTACCTAGTCGATTAATTAATGTTTTTGCAATGAAATTTACAAATTGGAATTTTATTTGATTTATGATCCCCAACAAAACAACAACATACAAATTTTATCATATTCAAAAGCACCCAAATAGATTAAATTAAAATTACCCAGCCTTTAGAAAGATAAAGAAATGTTCGACTATTTAAATTTATCGAGAAAAGATTGTTATAACTATTTAAGATATGGTCTCGATATTTTTAAATAATCGAATACTCTTTATCTTTCTAAAGGCTGGTTAATTTTAATTTAATCTATTTGGGTGCTTTTGAATATGATAAAATTTGTATGTTGTTGTTTTGTTGGGGATCAAAAATCAAATTAAATTTGAATTTGTAAATTTCATTGCAAAAACATTAATTAATCGACTAAGTACCAATTTATGGCACTGTAGGGGTGATAATCCTTTCCCAAGCGTAATCGACTCCCGAACTCATTTTAATCGAATCTTTGGTAAACGCAGACCGACTTTTGTCTTAAAAAATGATTTTTCTTGAAATGGTTTTTAAAAGATGTTTTTATGTATTCGACCTACCTAACCCAAAGGTTGATGGCGACTCTTTTCAGCTTTACCCAAATTAATTCCAAATCACTAAATTTTTCAAAATTAAAGTCTTAACTGTTTTTTTAAAACAACAAACAATTGTCCCCGCCGAAAAACGGTTACGACAAGTTTATATTATGTTAGTATAATACTAACATAGAGTTTGAATATGGTGTTATGTAAGTGAGGTCGCAAAGACTACGATAAATTTTGTGATCCCATTGATTCTAAGTGAAGGACAAAATACACTAGTAAAAGAATATTGTAAAAGGTTCGGTAGTGAGGCAAAGGTGAGCGTATTTATTATTTAAATATTTGATTGAGAAAGACTTGCGATAAGTTAACCTTGTATTATATTCGAAGTATGATTTAATTTTGATTATCGAATATTTCTATAATATTAAAGTATGATTTAATTTTGATTATGGAATATTTCCATAATGTTATATAAAGGTTTTATGAATGATTTTAGGGTATGAACAGCCCAAGTTATTATTTTTATAATGATGAGTTGAAAATGATTCTAAATGAAATGTTGATTTTTAAATGAATATGATATGATCTGAAATTTGATTGTATGTTGCATTGAGAGTCATAGGTACACTTGGCATGTCATGAAGTTGAGTATTCTCATTCTGATTTGGTACATTCGTGTACATTATGTATTGCACCGTTGGTGCAAATTATATGAATGCATTGGAGTGCATATTTGATTCTTATGATAGCACCTAGAGTGCTTATGCGCACATCTGTCTGACTCGCGACCTTGCATTATCTTAAATATACATTGGGCTATGAAAATGAAATATGAAGTTCTGAATGTGTGAAAAAAGAATATGAAATGATGATTATGTGTGATAATAATTATTATGATTTTGATAAAATCATGAGATGATGATTTTCAAGTTTCTAATGAGGAAAAAAGGCTTGAATAAATCGGTTTGAAAGTTCAATGATTTTATTTGAATTATATGGTATTGTTTTGAAGTATTTATAATATTTTTATGTTCTATCTCACTTTGAGTTATTTACTGTCTCACTGAGTTTTAGTTAGCACGTGATGATTTTCATACGTAGGCTTAAATAAAGAAAATGACGTGAAGTGAGGAGCCTCACAAGCATCTTTTGGAAAATAGTACTTACTGACAGTATCAGTAAGACATTTCTGATGTTCTTTTGACTTTTTAGTGGTATGTATATTATATTTGTTTGTTTGTTTTGATGAATTTATTTAAAATGGTCTATAATAGTAATTAGGACCATTCTGTTTGAAAGAAATGAATAACAATATATAAGAAGACTTTAGGTTTAGCATTTTCGAATAATTGTTAGCTTACGACAGGTTCGACAAACATTTGCAATTCAATTTACACCTTGACGTTCTCATATCCACCGATCAAAGAAATTTTGAGCTAATTTAAAATATTCTTATAATATTCATTCTTCATTTATTAAATTAAATAAATGAGTATGATTTAATAAATGAACAAATAAGAACAAAGGTATGTTTAGTTCGTTTATATTCATGAACAAACTTGTTTACCAACTCGTTTATAAACTCATTTACCCCATTTTCGTTTTCATTTATTTTATAATTTAAATATTGATGAAGATATGGACTAAATAGAACACATACTAAATTTTGGAATTCAAACTGTGAAGCTTGGGGAATTTGAGAACTAGTGGGATAATTTCACTATTTCTGTGAGACATATAAACGAACATGGTCATGGTCGTTAAACAAACATGTGACGAATATATAAACGAACATGTTGACGAACGTTAAATGAACATATTTGCAAACGTTAAACAAATTGAATACAAGCACTTTAAAAAAATACAAACATAATATTAAAAAAAATAAACACAAATTCAATATAAATATCTTTAAAAATAAATAAATAAACAATAAAATAGCTTTATTTGTCCATTTATTCCCTTACATCTTATTTTGACCATCCAAATTTATACTATGTATTTATGCTTAAAAATTAAATTTTGGACCTGAAATGGAAGGACGGTGAGATTCAAATTTATACCATGGTGCAAGTAAAGACAAGCAAATGAAGCTCAAAAAGGGCGTTAACTTATCCCCAGTTACAATAATTTAAGTTCACGTAAGGATAAGCATTTGATCGAGTCGAGTCGAGTGGAGTAAAAAAATTCGAGTTAATGAGTCGTATTTTATAATTCGAACTTAACTTGAAATTTTTTTGAGTCGAGTTTAAGAAATTCGAGTCAAGTTATTCGAGTTTTTATACTAATTTTATTATAATTATTTATAGTATTATTATAATGATTTGTTCCAATTTTTTATCTTTATCTAACTGTATATATTTATTTCATATTATAGTGGTATTTAATATATCAAATACAATCTAAAAATTTGAAATATATTCATTATATTATATTTTAAAGAAAGTATTTTGTGGGAAAAATATTGATAAGAGTATAAATGAGTCAAGGAATTGATGAGAATAAAGAATTTGCAAACAATCGGAGTCACAATACCAAATTGAGTAAAATGCAAAGTTAATGGACTAAATAAAAAAGAGAGTACATCTTTAGTAAAAAAATAACAATTGAAGTTACATATGTATTCTATTATGGTATATGAGCATGTAGTTCGAATTTTGTAAAAAACAGATTTAAAATAAATCATAAATTGAAGTAATAAGGAGATTATGAAAAATTGAAGACTAAATTGAAAAATATAAAATTTGTTATCAAAAAGATGAATTGGTAGTAAACATGTATTCTACTAAGGTTTAGGAGCATGCCTCAAAGTTGGTGAAAAACTTAAATAAATGATGAATTGAAGAAATAAGAAGATTATGAAAAATTGAAGAACTAAATTGAAAAATAAAAATTTTGTTATCAAAAAGAGGGATTGAAAGCACACATGTATTCTATTATGGTTTAGGAGCATGCTACTCAAATTTGATAAAAAAACATACTTAAAATAAATGACGAATTGAAGAAATAAGGAGATTGTGAAAAATTGAAGGACTAAATTGAAAAATAAAAATTTGTTATCAAAAAGAGGAATTGAAAGTAAACATGTATTCTACTATGGTTTAGGAGCACGTGGTTCAAATTTCATAAAAATGGACTTAAAATGAAGGAGGAATTGAAGAAATAATGAAATTAGGGACTAATCATAAATTATCAAAATACTTATCAATTTTTGGTTTTTCGAGTAACTCAAAAATTCAAAATTTCAACCGTCAAAATTGGTTGTCTAAATATTTTTATAATATTCATTCATGTTCGTTTATTAAGTTAAATAAATGGGTATGAATAAACGAATAAATAAGAACAAATGTATGTTTGATTCGTTTATATTCATGAACAAACATATTTATCAACTCATTTATAAGCTTATTTACTCAATTCTCATTTTCATTTTTTTTATAATTTAAACATTGATGATGATATGGACACATACTAAATTTTGGAATTCAAATTGAGAAGTCTTGGGAATTTAAGAATTCGTGGGACAATTTCACTATTTTTATGAAACTTATAAACAAACATGTTCACGGTCACTAAATAAACATATTGACAAATATATAAATGATTAATTTTGAATGAACATATTCGCAAACGCTAAATAAATTGAATACAAACACTTTTTAAAAAAACACGAATATAAAATTAAAAATTTAAATAAATAGAAATTTAATATAAATATCTTTAAAAATAAACAAATAAGTATAAATATTGTTTTATTTGTTAATTATTCATTTATTAATTATTCATTTATATCGTTACATCTTATTTTGACCTTCCAAATTTACACTATGTATTTATGCTTAAAAATTAAATTTCGGACCTGAAATTGAGGGGCGGTGAGATTCAAATTTATACTATGGTGCAAGTAAAGACAAGCAAATGAAGCTCGAAAAGGGCGTCACCTTATCCCCAGTTGCAGTAATTTAAGTTCACGTGCCACCTCCATCCCTGTCCTGTTCGCTACACAGACAGAGATCCCTAGTACCTTTGGTAAAGCCAAAACAGCGACAATTTTGAGTTGACGGTAGACTAATACCGTAAAACTAGATGGATACCAGTTCCGAGGCATCCCCTTTGAGTGTTCCAGACCATGTTTTGAGTTCCGGTGGCAGGCCGATGCCGCTTTTGGGTTTCGGCACCGCCGCTTCTCCCCCGGTGGGATCGCAAGTTACTAAAACCGCGATTCTCCAAGCGATTGAGCTTGGTTACCGCCACTTCGATACAGCTTGTTTGTACGGCACAGAGCAGCCACTTGGCGAAGCAATCGCCGAAGCGGTTTCAGTTGGGTTAATTGAATCTAGAGATGAGCTCTTCATCACTTCCAAGCTCTGGTGCAGTGACGCCCATGGCGAACTTGTTCTTCCTGCCATTCACAGGAGCTTAAAGTAATACCCATTAGCCACTACTTCACAACTTTTATGATTTCCAGTAATCAGAACTTTTTGTTTTGCAGAAACCTGAGGTTGGACTACCTTGATCTTTATCTCATTCACTGGCCAGTAAGCTCAAAGCCTGGGATTTACGAGTTTCCCATAAAACAAGAAGATTTCTTCCCAATGGATTTCAATGCGGTATGGAAAGCCATGGAAGATTGTCAAAGGCTTGGCCTAACAAAGTCTATTGGTGTCAGCAATTTTTCCTGCAAAAAAATGGCTCACATCCTTGCTTTTGCTAAGATCCCTCCTGCTGTTAACCAGGTAATATTCCCCTTCTCCAACGCTATTGAATCTGACTTTTAAAACCCATTATCATGTTATTCTTGGCTTAATATAAAAATAAGTGCTAAACTATACTAAAAATATTTTTTAAAAAGTTTGGACATGACACGTTTCACAACTGTCTTTTTATCGGTAAACACCTAAAATTATAATGAAAAAAACTTTAAGCATCTATCTTTAACGAAAATATCTCAAGCACTAAAACGGTTTTTGATACATTCTTTAGATATTTATTTTTGTATTAAGTATACTCTTTATAGAACATCTAAATTCAATCAATTATGTCTATAGAGTATATAGATTATCAATACATTAAAATAAATTATGAACAAATACTACTTTATAATCGTTATGATGTTTTTCTTCTAGGTAGAATTGAACCCATTGTGGCAACAAAAAAAGCTGAGAGATTTCTGCAAGGCAAATGGTATCCTCTTGACTGCTTATGCTCCACTGGGAGCCAGAGGTACCATTTGGGGCACCAATAGAGTTCTGGAGTGTGAATTGCTCAATGAAATTGCTAAAGAAAAAGGGAAGACAGTTGCTCAGGTGCTTTTTAGTTACCCCACATACAAAAAGGAAACACATTTGCTTTTTTTTCTTTTTTACTCCATTTTTGTATGAAAAATGAAAACGATGATTGCTGTATCCAAAAACAAAACAGATCTGTTTGAGGTGGGGGTTTGAGCAAGGGATCAGCATATTGGTGAAGAGTTTCAACAAGGAGAGGATGAAAAGCAACCTTGAGATATTCAACTGGTCGTTGAGCCAAAGATGAACTGAGAAAGATCAATGATATCCCACAAACCAGAATTTGCAGTGGAGAAGATTATATCTCCAAATATGGGCCTTTCAAGACTAAAGAGGAACTTTGGGATGGAGAAATTTGATCTCATGGAATATAAACCAGAGTAAACTATATCATTTGATCACCCAAATATCATAATTTGATCATATAAAGCTTTCATCTTCTTCTGTGATCAAGAAAATATTTTTTAAAGGAAATAAATAGAGGAACAAATTGCATGAATTGATGCTTCATTATAAATTTCAAATTTCAAAATAGAACTAGTTAGTTTGGTTAGTTTTTTACGGTAAACTATACTGATGATCCTTTATATTTTCGGTCTAATTGATTTTTGATAACCGATTAAAAAGAGAGAGCAATTTTGATCTCTTACTTTATTGATCCGTTCGATTTTAATCAAACTATTGAATTTTTAAAATATTAAAGATTAAAATTATTGAACTATTTTGAATTATGACTTAATAGAATATATAAGTTTTAGGGCGGCATCACCGTCTATATTAAAACACAACCATGGTTTTCAGAACCGGACCGGTTAACGAACCGGTCATGCTACCGGTTCACTGGTTCAACCGGTCTGACCGGTCGGAAGAACCGGATGACGTCATAATTATTTAAAAAAAATAAATAAAAATATCAAAAATATTTAATAAAAAATAATTTTTTATATCACAAGTTATATTCAAAACAAATCATAACATATATAAGTTAAAAACCATAAAATCAAGTGAAACAAAATGATTCAAATTAACTACAACATAATATTTAAGGTAAAACATATTAAATAATAAATATAATTATATAACTATAATTTAAAAATAAATTTGGGGTTAAAAAATCATAACAAAATGATATTGTTTGGTTTAATTTTTTTTTTAAAAACAATCACACATGGCTAAGAAACATAGAAGAGCATCCCAAAAGTCTAAAGAGTAAAAAATATGAGAACAAAACAATCTCACATTACTAAGAAACATAGAAGCGCATCACAACTAACTTCTATAAATAATAGAGGTAATTTGACATTCAAAATCATGGAAACTTTTGGTGAGCATTGAGTGAACTATTCTTTCACTTCAATCAAGCTCGAATTTTAGGCTTCAATCAAGCTTCTAATTTTTTTTGAGTTCAAGTTTCAATATTATATTTCGAGTTTGAGTTGAACTTGATAATTTTTAGCTTGTGAGTTTGAGTTGAGTTGAGCTTACTTTTAAAGTTTTCAAGTTTGAGTCGAGCTCAGCAATACTCGAGTTCGACTTGGCTCGTTTAACAAACGACGTTGTTTGGTTTATTTTTTTTTTTTAAAAACAAAAATCCCGGTTTTTTCTGGTTTTCAACCGGTCCGGTTTGAACGGTTTAGCGGTTCTGGCCGATTCACTAATAGCGGTTCAACCGGTTTAGATTGAACCGGACTAAACAACGATTCCCGGTTGAACTGGCCGGTCCGGTCCGGTTTTCAAAACAGAGAACACAACCGACACAGTGACCAAAATAGAATGAAAATATAAAGTTAGTGACCAAAATGTCAAAAAAGTTCAAGGACCAAAGTAGAAAAAATATAATAGTTGATAGGCATCCTCTACGGCTTTCCACGTGACCTGTTTGACTTCAATCCTTATGTCATCCTCTGTGTCCACAAACTCAAGCTCAGCCTTTATCCAATAGGACCAATACCAAGGCTTCGATCTTATCCGTTAACTCAATTTGTAGGAAAACCAACCAAGCAGATGGACAGTAGTTCAAAGGCAACATGTTTTAGGATTCCGGAACAGGTTTTTCCGTCAAGCGGGCGGCGGATGCAGCGTTTGGGCTTCGGCACGGGAGCCTACCCGCCGGTTACACCGGAAGTTACATAGCGGGCGATTGTCGAAGCAATCGAGCTCGGTTATCGACACTTTGATACGGCTTATATTTACGGATCGGAACAGCCGCTTGGTCAAGCAATCGTAGAAGCGATTTCGAGTGGCTTAGTTAAATCTCGAGACGAGCTCTTCATTACTTCCAAGCTCTGGTGCAGCGATGCTTATGGAGATCTTGTTCTTCCTGCCCTTAACAGGAGCTTGCAGTAATATATAAATCTATATGAATATTATATTTCCTGTACATAACATGATTCGTACGTTCTGGAAATCTCGAGACGAGCTCTCATTACTTCCAAGCTCTGGTGCAGCGATGCTTATGGAGATCTTGTTCTTCCTGCCCTTAACAGGAGCTTGCAGTAATATATAAATCTATATGAATATTATATTTCCTGTACATGCATAACATGATTCGTACGTTCTGGCTAAAGTTTTAAACCGATTCTGCTGTAGAAATCTCAAGTTGGAGTACCTCGATCTCTATCTTATTCACTGGCCTGTGACCTTAAAACGAGGTAGATATGACTTTGGAGTAAGGAAGGAAGAGATTTTCCCCATGGATTCGGCTCCGTATGGTCAGCATGGAAGATTGCCAGAGGCTTGGCCTTACAAGTCCATTGGCGTCAGCAATTTTTCCTGCAAAGTTAACTGATCTCCTCGCCTTTGCAAAGATCCCTCCCGCTGTTAATCAGGTATATATACAGTTATCATTCAATTGAAGACAGGAAATCATCTTAGCGATACTAACTTACAAGTTATATTAAAAATTTAGAGGATGAGAAATTATAAAATTTCAAAAAAACGTAAAATTAGATAATCAATATAAATATAAAAAATATCTAAATTATATGCGAATTTAAAACTTTTGAAGGTTGCAATCACACCCCGTGCCCCTAGATACCCCCTAGTTCTAATATTGGGATATATATATAAATATAGTGAATAAGTTACAACCTTCTGCAGGTGGAATGCAACCCGATGTGGAACCAAAAGAAGGAGAAGAATATTGCAAGGCAAATGGGATCATTGTCATTGGTTACTCCCCATTGGGAGCCTATGGAACCCTTTGGGGCAATAAAGTTATTGAGAATGAAATGCTCAAGGAAATAGCCGAGGCAAAAGGGAAGACAGTTGCTCAGGTCTGGTATTTGTTTTTTTTTTCCATTTAAAACCAGAGCTGTTTCAAAATTATGTGTAAGGTAAGATATTATTTAACCAAAAGCAGATATGTCTGAGATGGGCATTTGAAGAAGGTGTGGGTGTAATAGTGAAGAGCTTCAATGGCGAGAGGATGAAGCATAACCTTGAGATATTCGACTGGTCATGAGCAAGGAGGACTTGATAGGATCGATGACCTCCCACAAAGCAAGGGCAGCACCGGAGAATTATTTGTGATGAAAGTGGAACTTTCAAGACCGTCGAGGAGCTCTGGGATGGGGAAGTTTGATTTGGAATTTTCAGTTACTTAAAAAGTTGATTTCAGTACTTTCATTAGAGGAGTATGTTAGTTGTTATGTCTACTAATTAAAAGTATTTTACGTTTTTGAAGTTGCAAGTTACAAATCAAAGGTTTATTTTTTATTAATTTAGGGTGATAAAAGATCATATATGTTTTAAAGATTTTAATAATTTAACAATAAAAAGCTAATCACCTTGAAATTTCTAGGATTAATAATCATCTCTTTAACTATTAAAGTAGTTTGGTTCGTGCATTAAAGTGATTTTATAATCTAGGGTGACTACAAATGGTAGTATCCGTCATAAAGATTCTCAACCTTTTGATAATAAATGTTTAAATACCTTATAGTCACTCGTGCTCGAACACATAATTTCTAGAATTAACAATTATCTTTTTAACTATTAAGATAACTTGGTTAGTGAAAAGCGTTATCATGACGACTTTTTACGTAGACATATATTTAGATTTGTATATTTGATGAAATTGGAAATATTTGGAAAAGTTAGAAAATATCTAGAATCATCATCGATCTTTGGGTTAGCTAGGTAAAATACTCAGAAAATATATATTTTTTTAAAGAATTTTAATAAAAATCTTTTAAAAGACAAGGTTGGTCGGCGTAATTGAAAATTTTGAATTCATGAGTCGTTTACATTTGGAAGAACTAGCACCCCATAACGTTCAGAATCAGTACTTTAATACATTTCTTTAATGTTAAAAATTTAAGAATTTGAATATGAATTTAATTATTGATTTCTTATTTTTCAAAAGTAATAAAATTTTAATAAAATCTTTAGAAGAAATGCACATTATTGTATCATTCTCAATTGAAGATAATCCCCTACTTTTCATTAAGAGATTCTCATTTTCCAATTGAAATGAAGACATATTTTCATTATTAAAAATTTAGGAAAAATTAGGTGAAATGCACATTATTATTCTATTTCTTATTTCCAATTAGAGAGTAAATAATCTCTTAATTTTCAACAAGATGGCCATTTCCTATTTTTAATTAAAAATAAGGAAATATTGTCATTTCCTCTTAAGTTTTAGAAATTAAAAAAAATATTAAAATCCTATTTTTAAAGATTAAAAGCCTAATTAATAAGAGGAAATAAGGACTAACTAATTATTCAATTATTATTGAAAAAAATAAAGGATATTAATTTATTTAAAAAGTCAACTAAACACTAACATAAGTCAAACGTGTTCTTGACAGTTTAACCAAGGATGCACCTAGAGGGCGGGTGGGGCATTCGTCCCTAAAAATCTAAATTATAATATATTTTAGATTTTTTAATATATTTTTATTAAAGTCTGTTTCGCCCCCCTAAAATTTTATAAGTTCAAGTTCACCCCTTGAAATTTTATAAGTTCAAGCTCACCTCCCCAAACTTAAAACCCTGCTCCCGTCCTTTAAGGGAAAGTATGACAGAACATTTGAGAAGTGACTTTTAAAAGTGTTGTGGAAAAGAAATTTTAATTTTTTTAAAAAAGTACATTTTTAAAATTTTATTATTGGAATTGTTGTAAAAATGAGTTTGAAAAGATAAAATGTCCATTATAGACATTATGTTGTAAACTAAAAATATAAAATTTAAATGATGTTTACACTTATTAATACTATGATATAGAAAACATCAAATCGCCTCAGTGACCAAAAAAAAGTTATAATATACGATTTTAACCAACTTTTTTTGGATTTGCCAAAATGACCAACAAAATCGCAACGCGAAATAAAAATC